TCCCGTGCCCCGTGCCCCGTTGCCGGTGCCGGTGTGGCGCGGGCGCTCACCAGGATGCCGTACTGGCCCTGCGTGAAGTCGGTGGCCTCTCGGGMCGGGCCGCGGATGTCGCGCAGCCGCCGCGGCTCCCGCCGCACCTTGGGCACGGCCGGCACCTTCTCCACGAACTTGAGCTTGGTCCTCTCGGGCATCGCCACCCCTGCGGGGCGGGGCACGGCGGTGGCGGCGCGCGGGGGCACGCCGGGGGTCCGGGGGGCCGGTACTCACCGCTGTAGTCCGGCGGCAGCGCGTAGCTCTTGAGGCCGGCGCGGGGCCCGGCGGCGCCGCCACCTGCGGAGCGACCGGTCAGAGCGCGGCGGGGCCCCGCGGCCGCCCCGGGGCCGGTGCCGGTTCCGGTTCCGGTTCCGGGGCCGGTTCCGGTGGCGGAGGCGCCCCGACCTGCGACGCGCGGACGGACGCACGGCACCAGCCCCGCCGCCGTGGGCGCCCTCCGGGGCTGGCTCCTGCGCCCGGCCCGGGGGAGGCGCCGGCGCGGGGCCCCCCAGCCCCCCGCAGGCCGCCATAGCACCAATGGGGAGTGCTGCTCCCCGCAGTTCAATCCGCGCTTCCTGACGGGGGGACGGGGGCCGGGTCCCGGCACCGCTGCCGGGGGTGCGTGGGCCCCCGGGCCGGCGCTGGCGGTGGAGGGGAGGGGGGCGGGGGGGGATCTCTGCTTTGCCTCGATTTACATTCTATACCATGCAGTAGCACCAAAGTTCATGAGGTGAATGGCAGCCGTGCCCGGCTACTTCCTCTTCCTGCCGCAGTACTTGCCTTGCGCGCAGCCCACGCCGCCTGCGGGATGGCACCGCCTCAGCRCCCCGGCGGCGCCTGCATCCCCCGGCACCGCCTCAACGCCCCTGGCATCACCTTAACCCACCTGGCATCGCCTTAGCCCCCTGGCACCCCCTCAACCCCTCCAGCACCGCCTCAGCACCCAGAGCATCACCRTAACGCCTTGGCATCGTGTTAAGCCTCTCGGCATTGCCTAAACTCCCCCTCTGCATCACCTTAACCTCCCCAGCACCGCATCAGCATCCCCAGCATCGCCTTAACCCCCCYGACATCATCTTAACCCCCCTGTCATTGCCTCAGCTTCCCCAGCATCGCCTAAACCCCTTCGGCATTGCCTTAACCCCCAAGCACTGCATCAGCATCCCCGGCACTGCCTTAACCCCCCAGCATCACCTCAACCTCCCTGGCATCACCCGAGCATCCCAGGCACCACCTCAACCTCCCTGGTACCACCTCAGCATCCCTGGTATCACCTTAACCTCCCCCAGCACTACCTCAGCCCCCTGGCATYGCCTGAGGACCCACTTTGGGGGCAGGAGAAGGGATTTGTCACTTACCTCTAAATCCCAAGGCGCCCAGGGCCCCTCCATAGGTCTTGGGGGGCTTTCCTGCGGGGGGCAGGAGAGAAGCGGCCKTGAGCCCCGTGCCCCAATGTGTCCCCCCTCAGCCCTGCCCGGCCGCATGGACACTCACCGCCAAATCCCAGCTGGCCGGCGACCCCACCTGCAAGTAGAGCGGGAGCCCTCAGCGCCCACGTCCCCGTGGCCACTGCTGCCGCCACCTTCCCAGCGGGAGCATCCCTGCCCTCAATGCCTTCCCTACGCCCTGGGGATGGTCCCCAGGCTGACACACACACACACACACACACACACACGCACACGCACACGCACACACTCATGCAGACTGTGCCGGTGTCCCCAGGCACCACATGGGCATCCCCGTGTGCCAGTGCAAGAGCTGAGCCGGGCCAAGTACCTGGAAATATCGGCGAGACGCCAAAGCCGGGCACTCCAGCCCCTGGGGAGAGAGCAAGAGCGTGGGGAAGCCTGTGAGAGCCCCACGCGGCACCACGTGCACCCCAAAGTGGCCGTGGGCCCCATGGGGAGGCAGCGAGGCAGCCCTGTCCGGGCAAGGGCACCCCTGGGCGCCTGCCTGGCCTTAGGGAGCCCTTGCGTGAGCGWGGCGTGAGAGCAGCGGGGCAGAGCGTGGTGGTGCCGTGGAGCCCCCTGCCCCGTGCCCACCGCCGCACTCACCTGGCTGCAGCCCCCCAGCAGCACCGAAACCTGCAGCAAGGGAGAGCGCGGGTCAGGCCCGGGMGCGCGGGGACCCCTCCTGCCCCCCGGCCCCGCGGGACCCCGCYGATCCTTACCCGCTTTGGGAGGTTTGCCGGCGGCCCCGGGGTACAAGAGTCCTRCGGCAGAGAGGGGCAGCAGGTGAGAACAGCCCGCGGGCTGCGCTCGCTGCCCCCCGGGCTACAGCCAGGGCTGGGGATATCAGCGCCCGCATCGCGGCCAGCGCTGACTCGGCACCGTCCCCTGCCCCCAGCCTGGGTACCCCAGCGGCAGCCCGGGGTACCCCTTTGGAGGGTCACCCATGCCCAGGGCACTGGTGAAGCCCCCACGATGCCCCAGCTCCCTTGGGATGGGCAGAGCTACCATGATAGCACGGAGCCTCCTGTGCCGTGTCCGGCCAGCATCACTCACCAGCACCAAGCCCACCAGGTCCAAGGCCACCAACTCCAAGGCCACCGACTCCAAGAGCACCTGCAGCAAGGAGCCAGGGTGAGGGGCTGGGGGCCAGGCCCACGGGTTGCCCCCGGGCACGGGGGCTATGGGGGCAGTTTGCAGTGGGCACAACAGCTTCACAACCTTTGGCATGCAGGGCCAGATCCATGCTGGTGGCACCTGGCCTTGTCCTTGCTGGACGGTGCCTGGGCGGAGGGACCGTATGGGACATCTCTGCTCCAGGTGGGGCCGTGGCTGGCACAGCCCCCGGGTGCCAGTTTAGGGGGCTCTACCCAGTGCCCCAGCCCCGAACGTGCCCCGGCCTTCCTCGCCCCATGCCCTTGGGGAGCACCTCGCTGCCCCGTGCACCCCCACCGCGCAGAGACCCCAACGAGGGCGCTCAGCTCCCACCGCATCATACCTGGGAGGCCACCAACCCCTGGGACACCGACACCGGGAACTCCTGCCAGAGAGGAGATGTGTGAGCCTGCATCCCCGCGCAGCTCAGCACGGGCACAGAGCACCCAAGAGGGCAGCCCTCGTCCACACGGGGCTTGGCGTGACCATCCTTGGGCCCTGGGGACCCCAACACCYGCCATGCAGCAAGGCAAGACTTGGGCCGCTCTGCGCACTCAAGGCAACCTTAGGCAGGCTGTTGGGCAGGGATCCTGTGGTCTGAAACCACCAGGTTGTTCAGTTAAGCCCAAATCCTTCACCCTTTGCCAGGGCGGCTCACGAGTGGCTAGTGGGCAGGGWCCCTGAAGCAGGCGGCATCGGGGAACTGGGTGCTGCAGGAGATGCTGGCCAGGAAAACCCTGAAGGGAAGGGCCAGCACGGCCGTGGACGCCGTGGCACAGCGGGGACACGAGCCTTGGCACAGCGAGGACACGAGCGAGAGCAGCAGCCACAGGCAGAGCAAGGCCCCGTCCACMCGAGTGTGACGGGAAGGCAGGACCCAAGGGGTGAATGGACGAGAGTGGCAGAGGACCAAGGTGGGCAAGTACGGAGGTGCCATGGGCACCCAGGGGGTGCGGGCTGGGGAAGGGTGGGAGATACGCACCGAATTTGGGAGGCTTAGCACCGGGCTGCACCCCTACTTGGGGGATGCCTGCAAAGCAAAGAAGGGCACCGTGCTTAGGCTTGTCGCCCTCACGGTCCCCACGCCGTCCCCGGCAGGGCAAAGCGGGGCACCTACCTGCTCCAGGGAGAATGCCAGTACCGGGCACTCCCACACCCGGCACCAAGCCTGGCACAGCACCGACGCCGGGCGTCACTCCTGGCACTCCAGCAGCGCCGGGCACAGCRCCCGGCACCCCTCCGACCCCAGCACCTGCAGAGAGAGGCGGCTGAGCACAGCGGCCCCGGGCAGGCTGCGAGGGACCACGGCCATCGCCTGGCCCTGCCCGACGCCACCCGTGCTGCGGGCACGCGGCACGCGCACCTGGGCATCCACGGGCCCAGCAAACAGCCAGCGTGCCCGGAGCGCTCGCAGGGCCACCCTCACCACGGGAGGAGCGGGCTGCGCCGGCCACTCACCGAATTTGGCTGCCTTAGCTGCTGCTTTGGCCGCTGCGGATGGAGCTCCGACCCCTGAGCGGAGATAGCGCGACACGGTCAGTGTCCCCATGGTCAGCCCGCCCCGGCACAGCCTGTCGCTCCTGCCTTGTCTACATTGCCCGAGGGGTGGCTGGAAGATGGACACCACAAAGGTCCCCCCCACACCCATCCTGCCCCAGAACGGTTGTTGCACCAGCCCAGCTGCCATCGTCACCTGCCCCCTGCTCCTTGGCCTCGCTGGGCTCCTTGAGGGCATCACGCACTGATGGCAGGGGAAGGTAGGGGAAGGCRGGGGTGTATTTACGGATAGGCCAGGACGCGGTGCAGGCAGTCCCCATAGATCAACAGACAGCAAGAGGACCCCATCGTTTCCTTCCCTCAGGAGAAAGGGGCTTACCTGGGATGGCACCAACACCAGGGACCAGGCCACCCACGCCAGGAGCCAGGCCACCGACACCGGGAGCCAGGCCACCAACGCCAGGAGCCAGGCCACCAACACCAGGAGCCAGGCCACCCACGCCTGGAGCAAGGCCACCAACACCGGGAGCAAGGCCACCTACTCCTGCAGAGAGAGAGGGAAAGATGAGCATGGGGAGACAGCGGGTGGGGGGGGCTGGCTGCAGCCGGGGTGGCATGGCAGGCTGGGATGTRCAGGTGGACGCATGGTGGGGCAGATGGATGCAGGTGCATGAGAAGGTGCGTGCCTGGTAGATCCAGGACCCGCTGTGCAGGGCAGCTCTCTGAAGAGCATCCCATGATGCTGGATGGGCTGGGCGCTCATCTCATGATGCCCAGACTCGCTGGGGCTGCGTGCAGCGCCCCGATCAGGGGCAGCCAGCATGCAGGCAGCAGGAGGCACGTGGCTACAGCCCGGCGAGGCCCCAGGGTCCCATCTTACCATACTTGGCTGCTTTGGCGGCTGCTTTGGCAGCAGCGGCTGCTGCGCCTGGGACTCCGACTCCTGGGGAGAGGGGGAGAGTGCGGCAGGGGCGGCCCGTGGGGCCCATGCYCTGCGGGGAGCTGCGCGTCCCCACGCTGTGCCCGGGCCCACACAGCCCTGAGCCACCGCTTTACCTCCTATTGCTCCGGGTGCCAGGCCGCCGACCCCACCGGGCAGCAGGCCTCCGACGCCGGCGGGAACGCCGACTCCGGGCAGGCGCCCTGCTCCTGCCGAGGGTCCGCGGTGAGTGCCAGGCGGCCGTGCCAGCCCGCACACCGCCCGCACCGCGCGGGGCTCCGCAACTCACCAAACGCTGCGGCCTTCGCTGCCGCCTTGGCAGCTGCAGCATCTCCTGGAGCACCTACTGCTGGGGCAGCAGAAGGGCAGGGTCAGGAGGATGAGCGAGGGCCAGCAGGACGCCGGCAGCTCCTGCCCGCCCACGGACTCACCTCCCGGGACACCAGCGACGCCAGGCACCACTCCAGGAACCCCGGCCACGCCGGGCACGCCGGGTACGCCAGGAACACCGGGAACACCGGGCACACCGGGCACACCGGGAACACCAGGAACACCAGGAACACCGGGAACGCCGGGCACGCCGGGAACACCGGGCACGCCAGGAACTGCACCAGGAACACCAGCACCAGCTCCTGCAGGCAATGAGGGGTGAGTGAGGCTGGGTCTTGTGGCAGCACCCACTGAAACCCAGGGGCAGATCTGCTCTTGTCGTAGTGCCAGGATGGGAGGGTGCTCCACCACCTTGGCCTTGGCCAAGGGAGATGCACAGCCCAGCAGGGCAGAGGCACTGGCCCTGTGTCTCCCAAGGAGACCCAGTGAGGATGTTCAGTCCACAGGAGTTTTATGAGGATAGGCCAAGACCCAGGGCGAAGCGTGACTGCAGCCCGGCTGGGCAGACAGCAGGGCCAAGCGACATCCCACCAGGCCAGCAAACCGTGCCATAGGGAAGCGGGGCAGCAGTGCTGCGTGGTGCGGCTCGTGGTGAGGCCAAGGCTCGGAGGAGAAGGGATGGATTGCACCGGGTAACTGTCAAAAAGAGCTGGCTGCTTGGACGCTAGCCAGTCTGGGAAGCTGCTTAGGGCAGCTACAGCCCTCATCTTCTGGACCTCATTTATGCAACAGAGGGAAGTGCGTGGTCGCATCTTGTGCAGGAGCCTAGAGCCAGAAAAGCTTTCTGCATGGGTCCTTGCCCTGCTATGTCCCTGGCACCGCCAGATGGACTAGGGTCAGAGCACACACTAGCTATATTTTCCCGAGTTTCTCCCTAAATTCCAGCATTCTCCATGCCACCATTGAGTTTTCTCACATGATGCAAGGGAGAAAGGAATGAAATGGAGAGGAAGGGTTGAGCTCTCAGAGGAACGCTGTCACCAGGACAGATGCTTCACAGAGGGTGCTCAGGCCTTTGTGACACCTACCGGGACGAGGCAGAAGGACCTCCTGGGACCTGGCCACTGCATCTGGCCCCACCATGCAGCCTCTTTCACTAACTCTTCATGAAACGCATGGAGCCTGCAGCTCCAGATGGAGCCTAGGGTCACTTCTGCATCCTCTTTCTGTCCAACCTTTCCTTTTCCCTGCTGCTCAGCAATCTTCCTTCTCCTTCTCTGAGCTCCTCCTCCCTGGAGGTGTTTGCGGAAGGGTTGTGCTTGTTAGAGGCCTGAGTTTTGCCAGGCCAAGTCTGGATTCACCAGAGCCTCCGTCTAACAAGATTTCCCTTCCTCGCCTCCCTCAGGTCCCAGGCTTTCCGAGGCTCTTGTTGGAGCTCACTTTTGTAACCAGGAGCAACCAGAATTGRATGAAGGATTTCTGTTGTCAGATTTCTGCTACTATAATTTGCAGATAACTGCAAAATTGGAAGAGTTAGTTAGAAATTATATCAAAAGATGTGGTCAGTTCTGGCCTGCACAGGGGGTTGGCRCATGACTTAGTCTAGTTTTGGTTGAACACCTAGGGGAAAGAAACAGATCTCACCAGAAAGCAAATTTTGGAAAGTGGTGCCCCTGGAAGGGGCTTGGGGAGTCAGCCTGGAACCAGCTGGAACAGAGACTCCCAGGGCAGAGATGCCCGGCAGGACTAATGGGATCTCAGCCCATTTGTGCGATGAGACAGAGCCCAGGTGCCCCAGACACAGGGCCAGGTCTGATACTGATGATGGAAAAAAAGGAAAAAGAAAAGGTGAGGATTCAGTCAAGACCAAAGAGGCAAGTGCAGTCTCATCCCTTTGTTCCTGCAAAGCACCAGCAGAGCTACAGCCTGCAGAAATCCCAGGAAGACAGCCAGSCCACCTTGGGGTAAAGGCAGGACGAGATGGAGCAGCTAAAGCTGGRCTGGGCACATTGACTCCCTAAATGCTTCCTCACCTTGAGCCATTCGGAGAGATCTCCAAGGGAGACCCGCCTGCTTGGGAGCGGTCTCACCCTCGTGTTGGAGGAGCGGTGGGAGATGCAGCAATGCCCCGAGGAGAGCTCCCCGGGATGACCCAGCCTCACAGTGGGATATGGGGGGAACGGGGGCTGTTCCCACTTACCAAACTTAGCTGCCTTTGCCGCTGCTGCTGCTCCTGCCGGCGTCCCGACTCCTGGGGACAACAGAGAGAGGGACCTTAGAAACCCACTTCGTGCTTCCCGCTGAGACACCAAGTGTGAGCAAAGCTCCGGGGAAGAGTCACCTGCCACCCCGGGGACACCTGCGACACCGGGCACCAAGCCAGGGACGGCGCCCACACCGGGCACTAGTCCTGGGACGCCGCCAACGCCGGGCAGGACCCCTGCACCTGGAGGGAAGCAGAGCAGTGAGACCCCGCACGCCTTGCAGACCCCGAAACGTAGCGACACGCGGTGCCAGCCGACAGCCCCGGGCACAGAGCAGCCCAGAGCAAGGTCTTGGCGAGCCTGACACCAGTGTGGAGGGAGCAACGAGAGTCCCCCCAGCTGCTGCACCACGAAACCCTCCAGGAGCACCGGGCAGGTGGGCRCAGCACTCAGGTCCCGGCAGCTCTGCCATACAGGGGGTGGACGGAGCTGCTCCACATGGAGTTGCCCCTTTGCCAACGTGAGCTCCAGGGCACACGGCCTCGAGGAGATGCGCCAGGTTTGCAGCTCTCCAACCTTGCTGCTCCCTCTCCAGCACAGGCACTGCCAGGTTACTGGGGCGCTACTGGGGCAAAGCTGCCCCTGGGCGAAGCCGGTGCAGCCAAGGGCCTTCCACAGCCCCCCTCAAACCTGCTGCTTTGCTAAGGYCCCCGGTGTCCGCACGAGCCTCCCCCAGGACGCCAGCACAGGGTGGGCAGTGAGTCCAACCTCCTCTGCAGTGCCYGGCCAGAGCCAGGCGCTGCCCCGAGGCTCAGCCCTTCCAGGGGCAACCTTCCCGCTCACGGGCTCCTGAGCTGGGCTCTGCCCYGGCTGGGAGCCCCAGCGGCTTGGACGCCACCGTGCACAGAGAGCCCCRGGAAGGCCCTTCAGGAAACACCAGCAGCACCGTCCACCCCTCGCRCGCAACCAGGCAGGGCATTCCCGGCTCCCTCCGCACAAGCCCGTGGCCTGGAGCCCACGCAGGCGTCTGGGAGCTGCTGGCAGCTGGAGGGACCTGCTGCCCCGCAAGGCCCTGCTTGCAAATCCCAGCTGCTCCCAGCGCTGACGCATTTCCTCTGGACGCTCCAATGAGCGACTCYTGGCTACTCCCTTTTCTCCTGCGAAATAGGCTTCCCCTGCCAGCAAGAGGAGCAGCAAACATGAGCGCCGCGTAACCAGCCACATCCCTCTGCTGACGAACAGCAGCTCGTTAGAGACACCATCTCCGCAGAGAGGCAGAGCGAAACCACAGCCGCTGGCAGGGCCTCCGGTCACGCAGCGCCGGCACTGTTACAGCAGAGCAGTGCGTGGCAGAGGTTTATGGCCCCGCGTCAGGACCACTGCCATGCCCACTGCCCGCGTGTCCCGTCACCCAGCTGCGGCGTCTCGGGGCGGACATCTCCGGTCACCAGGAAGGAGATGCTTTCCCAGCGCAGACAGTCAGGCCTCTGCTGCCTCCTGCCCCAGACTGAGCTGCTGAAAGCTCCCCTTGCAGGTGACAAAGCTCCTCTCCAAGCCCTGCAGGTGCAGCCTTGCTGCCCGTCCACATGCAAGAGCCCCCCCGGCTCAACAGACTGCGCTGAGCTTGCCCCAAGCAGCGGCTGTGCAGGGCCCGGGGCTGGCAGAGCACCTGGGCGGCCGCACCGGTGGGCAGCGGGTGAGCTGAGGGCACGGCAAAGCCGCGCGTCACGGCAAGCGGTGCCGCCTGCGGCGCACACGTGCTGCTCTGCTGTGTCGTGAGGCAGGAAGCACAGCAGAGAGCAAGCGTGACCCTGCCGGGCCTGGCCGAGGCACCAGCCATGCAGGCAACTCACCGTACGCTCCTGCTTTCGCTGCTGCCTTCGCCGCTGCAGCTGCCGCTGCCGGCCCTCCAACTGCCGGGGTACCAGGGGAGACAGTGAGCAGGGGGAGACGAGAGGGGCAGGAACCGCCGAGTGCCAGGGCTATCGACTCACCTCCAACRCCCGGGATGCCTCCAACGCCCGGAATGCCTCCAACGCCGGGCACCAAGCCGCCGACCCCTGGGATGCCGCCAGCCCCGGGCAGGACACCGGCTCCTGTTGCAAAGGAAAGGGGGGTCGTCAGCTGCTGGCGGGTGCAGGGTGTTGGGGGCAGGGTCCAGCGGGGAGCTCCATGCACGGCTTGCTGGGGCCCCTCAGCGCCCTACGGGTGCCCACGGCGCAGGACTCACCATATTTAGCTGCCGCTTTCGCTGCTGCCGCCTGTGCTCCAACTCCTGCAACGGCACGTGAGGAGAGGTTGAGGCCTCAGGACCATTCGTCCTCAGCCCACCCCTGTCCCACAATCYCACAGGCACTTCAGGGACCATCTCCTCCTATCAGTGGTGATGCTGGTAGGTGACCTCCTTTCTTCTCCAGGAGGTGGCATACACACCTGTCCTGGTTGTCCCCAARCCCTTGCTGGTCACCTATGATGCATCAACAGCCAATTCCCACCACCAGCCATCCAGGAGGTCCCAAGTGTCCTGTCCGAAGGCTGGGGAAACTAATGAGGTGGCTGTTCCCGCCAGGATAGAGACCCTCAAGGAAGGGTCTGTGCCACCTCCCACCCTGGAGCTGCTTGGGAAGGGAGCGCAGAGGCCACATACCTGTCCCGGTGGGGAATCCTGCCTTTCCTGCTGCGCCGAGTCCCACTCCTACCCCGCCAGGCCCAAGCCCTGCAAGCACAAAGAGAAGCGAAGCAAGGTCAGGCCCTGGGCCGAGGCAGACAGAGCAGCTTCCCTGGCCCCAAGGATTTGCCCCGCCACATCTGGGATGTGGTGGAGATGCCTGAGCCAGCTCCCCTGGCTAGAACAGGGAATCAGCTCTCCGGAGATGCCAGTTCAAATATCCCTGAGTGGAGCTGGCAGGAGCTCGGGACATGGCCTCGGAGCCAGACATGGGCTCATTACACGAGCTGCCTCCGCACAACGAGAGCTGACTGATGCTGGTGCCACTGCGTGTCTGCACGCTAATGCTTTATGGCCCTGACGTGCGGAGGTGCCAGCAGAGATGGGCTGCTTCCAGCTGGGAGGCGTTCGTGGGCATCAGACCTTCCCTTTCCCTGCCTTTCTGCCGCCAAGGAGGGCAAGGAAGGGGAAGGCACGGCCTCAGCCAGCTCCTTTGCCCCATGGCAAGCGCCTGCGCATGGCTGAGSGTGGCCTCGGCCCCGCTGCTTTGGGCACCCTTGTCGCGGGAGGAGGGCGCTCGGAGGGCAGCATCACCTTGGCCCGCACTGGGCTGCCTCGTGGAGCCACCCGTGGTGGTGCCCATGGGGCAGCCCGACCTCCGTGGCAGCCAGCGGGGGAATGAGGAGCTACAACCGTGGAGCAAGGGCTAAGAGCACTCACCATAGGGCAGCTTACCAGTGCTGTAGGGCAATCCATAGCCACCTGGAGAGGAGAAAAGGCGGCCGGTTAGCACATGCCGTGCCAGGCACGGCTGCCGGTACTCGTGCCCCCTCTGCCCCGCGGTGTAGCACCTCTTTGCCAACTGGCTGGGCAAAGTGAGCCCTCAGCCTGGGTGCTCTTTCCAAAGCCACCCATCTGGCTGCAGAATCGCTTGGGACAACCGACCCTGCGATGGAGCCAAAATCCAGGATTCCTCCACCAGCAGGAGCCTCCCTTCTCCATCGCCAAGGATTCATTCTGGAAGCAGCGGTCCCCATCCGTGGTGAGGAGCCCTTCCTTCCCTCTCCGCACCAAACACTGCAGTGCCCAAAGCCAGCTCCCAAGCAAGAGCGCGTGTTTGCAGGAGCCTCCTGCCATCCCGCTGCGGCAGGAGGCCCCCCGAGAGCCCCGCGGCCAGAGCTGTCCCCAGCTGGCTCCACGCAGGCCAGCTCCAAATGAAAGGCTTTAATTGGAATCAGGGCTCAGGAGCCTCCCGCTGAAACGTGACCTCATTAAGAGGTCAGCGAGAAGGGATGGAGCGGGATTAGGAGAGGGAACATCGTGGCTGGGGAGCGGAGGAAATTTGCTGGCCGTGCAAGCGCCTCCTCGCAAAGGGCGGGGATCCCATCGCATGGGACAGCACGGGGATGCCCGTGACTCCGCAGGAACTGCTCCCCGGAAGCGCGAGACTCTCTGCCTCCTGGCTCCCATGGGCTCCGGGTGCTCCCRGAGAGCTCACAGYCCGAGGACGGACCTCACCGGGTGCYGACCATGGGCGTGYGGAGCTGCAGGTGGAGAAAGGGAGGCGCCGGGATGTCTCCTGACACCATGGACTGGAATGGGCAYGGGAGTGTCTCTCTCCATGAACCAAGCCCTCTCCAGCCACACGGGGCCATGGGAAGGGGTGGTGAGGCTGGGATTGCCTGGAGCCAGGATGCTATTGCTCATGAAATGAGTGTTTTTTCGAATCGGGGGTGCTCTCCCCTCCTACGAGCTAACATGTGYGGACCAGATTTCTCCCTGCCCTGCCAGGCTTTCCCAATAGGTCCCACACAAGCACAAGTTCTCTGGAAAGCTGAGGCTTTTCCGACAGCGTCAGCCACGAGGCGGTTGCCAGCAGGAGCAGACTCCACAGAGCCACGCACGAACCCCCGCTCCYGACGGGCACCCCTCGTGCCAAGCGCTTGGCAGCCCCCGGGAGCCACCAGCTGGGAAGAAGGGGCCTCATTCACCACCACGTTGGCAGCATCCCGTGCACACGCAGCCCACGCGGTGCCTCTTCTCGCCAGGCCTKAGCCCAGCTCTCCACCGTCCCGCAGCCACGTGCAAGAGCACGAGAGCCGCGCAGGAGAGCACTGCCCTGGCACCAAGGGCTGGCACCACCAAGGGCGCTAAGGGCTGGCAGCTCTGCTGTCTGGCAAGAAGAGGGCTTTTCCCACACGGACCCCTGYGGCCGGGCACCGGGAAGCAGGTCCCTTCTGCAGGGTACTGGGTGGAAGCAGGACTGGAGCCACACGTTCAGGAAACAGGCAGTGTCCACCCCTGGGGCCTGGGATCCTGGACAGCRACGTGGTCCTKGGAGGGATKGAGGGAGGGAAGGAAGCCGCTGCCCKGCTCCTTAGCGAGGGCAGCACAGAACGGGAGCTGGCTGAGACATCTGGAGCAAGCCGTCAAAAARAGGAGACTTTCCACTAAAAATTGCTATTTTCAGTGATGTCCCCTTGGCTCCTTCGTTCTGGACCCGTGCTCGCCAACTGCTGCCGCTCCCACGCAGCACTAGGKTATGCAGAAGACAGGGATGTAACACATCTTTTGGCAGCCCCTGGTGTGTCTCCAAGCGCTGGCACCTGCCGTCCCAGGAGCACATCGTCACGTTCACCCTGCTCCAGCCAAGCGCCAGGACAGGCAGCCTAGCATGTTCCCACCGGCCAGCCCCAGGGCTCGGGAGGGACAAAACAGGATCCCCCGGCTCCTCGGGAGCGACTCGAGTGCCAAAGAGCGCTCAAGAGCTGAAACCAAAGCCAGCGACACTGCTTCTGCGGGGAGAGGAGCAGCGCCTTGGCCGAGCGGAGCGGGATGCTCCGAGCACGGCCTAGGGGACGGGCTTCCCGTGCCAGGCGAGGGAGGGGGGACAGCTCCCGCCCGCGGAGCGCYGCGCGCGGCCGCTTGGCTACCTGCGGGGCCGTCTTCCCTGATTTATTAGTGGCAGCTCCCCAGTAAGTGGGTCAGYGGCGGCGGCGCCCCATCCGGGCTGCGGGCCACTGGTGGGGCCGCGCGGGACGGCGCCAGGTGCGGCGCGCGCCGCGAGCACCAGGCACCCCATGAAAGGCAGTCTGGGGCAGCGGCTCCGCCGGAGCGGCCGCGCTGCGGCTGCGAGGCCAGACGCTATCCGATCTCTGCAGGGCTGCGCAGGAAGAGAGCGGCCCTAATGAGTGTAACTCTGCCTCTGCGGGAGGAAGTCGGGGCCGTTCAAGTATTTCTGCCTCTCGCGGCCATGGGCCCCAGCAGGGGAAGTCGCAGGAGCTGCTGCGCGTGGCGCTCCTGTCTGGGTGGGTTCTGGTCTCTGCGAGGGGCTCCGCTACCTGGCAATGGGGTCCCCGTGGTGGAGGCTTCTCTGATAGCCTGAATTTTGTTCAGCGAGGCCGGGAAAGGACCACGGATCTACTGTGGTCCAGCAACCCAGTCTGGCTCTGGCTTCCCTCCTCCTGCCCGGCATGTCTCGGGTGTGCACCAGCAGCACGGTGCGAAGCACCCCGTCACCGTTGTCCCTCCTGCTGCTTTGGGGTGCAGCAGCCCCAGGAGGGGTGACCCGCATGCCTGTGCCGCTGCTGGTGCCACTGCTCTGTGGCACCGCCTGTCCTGCTATGCTCCCGACGTGGGTGCTGCACGCTGGGGATGGGGCTGAGCCTACAGGGCAGGCCTAGCATTGCCCAGGGCTGGGAGACGGGGKTCCCTGCAGGTGGTCCTTAATACGAGGTCCCTATTAAGCCTCCCCTGGGAAGGGCCTGAGCCTCACGTGCAGTGGGAAGGGTGACCTGCCTGGGGTTGGGGCCTTGGCAAGGCTCTCTGAGAGGGCACATCCTTTCAGGACCAAATGGTCCCCTGAAGACAGTGCCCAGCACAACCCCTGTCCGAGCCTCAGGAGCTGCCAAGAGCAAATGGTCCCTCGAAGGGCTGTTCCTAACATCAGGAGGGCGCTCTGGGAACAGCTTTGGTGGCCTGGCCCAAAGCAAGTCCCCAGCACTTGCCTATTCTCCCCTTGCAAGTCCTGGCCTCTGGAGGACAGCACCTCCTCCTCCTCATGGGCTTGCACAAGCGCTGCAGCAGTGTCCTGGCAGCCCCCTGAGGGCTGCAGGACGGAGGGCTGCAGCTGGGCCTCGCTGCCACCAGGGCCTYGTTACCTCCTGCTGCCCCCGGGCCGGAGCTGGCACTGCCCGGCCCTGCGGACCCAAAGACACCCTGAGGACAGTCAGAATAAATCCATGTCTGTCTCCTGGCCCTGTCATGAGAAGGGGCCCTCACCTGCACCCCTGTTGGCTGTGGCAGCTTACCTGGGAGCTTAGGAGCTTTGATGGGATACCCCAGAGGGACACCGGGCTGCTGGCCTCCAAAGCCTCCCAGTCCTGTAAAGCCAACAGCAGACTCTCACCTGGAGCCGCGCGCCCAGGCTGCCACCCAGTCCGTGTGAGAAGGGAGTGTCCAGGGGCACCCGGTTCCCCAGCCACAGCAGAGCAGAGCAGGTGGCTCGGGAAGCGCTGAGGCACCTTCTGGTGTGTGGAGACCATGGCCATGATGAGCAGGTTTGGGAAAGAAGAGAAGAGCAAGCGAGACAGAGAAAGGCACTCACCAGGGATTCCTGCAAAGGCTCCTCCCACGCCTAGAAGGAAACACAAATTCATGAGTCTCTGGGTTCATCCATGGAAGTCCAAACTCATCCCTTGCAGGGCTATGTGCCCTCAGCTGGTAGTCAGCCCATGCTTGCCCCAAATGCCCTGCCACCCTCCTCAGAGCTGCAGCCCCATCTGAAAAACCCTCCCCAGCAGGAGCCCAGGCCTGGACCCAGTGCCCCTGGGGTCACCAGAGGACCTGCCCTAGATACTGGAGTAGGAGGAACATACCTGGGGCTTTTGGCTTGACTCCAGCACCAGTGGGTACTCCGGGCAGCACCCCGACGCCGGGGAAGCGGACACCTAGGGCACGGARCAGAGAGGCTGGTGAGCACGGCGGGCCCTCACGGCTTTGCCTTCTGAGCTGGTAGCCAAGACACGGAAAGGCCCCTGCACCCTCCCCCGGTGCAAGGGAGAGAGCTCCCCATGACCTTGCTTCTGCCCTGGCCCAACTTGTGCTGTGCACACTGCCCTCGGTGCTGCCGGCTTCCCAGATTTCCCCCTGCTCCCCCTGCTTGCTACCCACTGCCCCCGAGTCCTTCGCACCCTTCCCGGRCGCAGGGTTCACCTGGTGTCACACTGCAGCCAGGTGCAGCCGGTGTGACAGTGCCTCCTCATGCCCGCTGGAACAGCTGCCGTGCCCCTGCCTGCCAGGCTGGCAAGTGTTTGCCCTCTGCTCTGGGAACGGCTGTTGGCTGCAGTGGCTCTGAGTGCCCCTTGGGTATGCGGAGCCCACAAGCAGCCGGAGCCCATGGTATTTAAGGAGCCCACCCTCCYTAAATACCATGGGCTCCATGGTATATCCAAGCCAAGGCAATTTCTYCTGCCCTGGATGACATGGTGCAGGGGCTTCATGCAACCTGGGGCTCCCTTCTGGGCTGCTGCCCTCCCATGCCCTGGCCTGTGATGTCCACTGTGTCCCAAATCTGGCCAACACACCCTTCCAACCACCCTTCTCCTTCATGGCCTCCTCTTAGGGATAACCCTAACCCCCTAAGCCTAAACCCCTAACCCTACCCCCTCGCAGTCCCTCTGCTCTCACAGGGGGATGTTCTGGCCACYGCTCTATGTTCTACCCTTGGGCCTGTCCAATTTGCTTCACCAAGGTGCTGCAGGCTGGAGGTGAAGTTTGGCCCATTCAGACACCGACCCTCTGGCAGAGCCTCACATTGGCCTGGCTTGGCGGTGATTTTTTTTCCTATCCTTTTACCAATGTCTTTCATTATAACTTTTTCAGACATGGAAAGGCATTCCTGACGAGCAGCACGCTTCTCATTCTGACAATGTCGAAACATCTTGTTTTCACAAGTTTTCCTCCCCAAATTGCTTTGCAGTGAGGAATTCCTGTCCTCCGCCACCTCCCCCCACTTCTTCCCACATGGCCTTTGGCTGAGCAAGTCATCCCTAGCAAGGTCCATGCCAAGTGCTCTGAAGTGTCCGGCACTAACGCCTCTCGCTCCCACGGAGCTTGGCATGAGATGCTTGGAGACGCCAGCTCCTGCCTTTGGCGTCACAGAGGTACTGCTGAAGCCTCCGCAGGCTGGTTTGCAGCAGGGCTGCAGCGGGGAGGGCAGTGACCTGGCAGGCACCGGGCCCGGGAGCTTTGAAGAGGATGCTCCGCACGGCCCAACCTCGCCAAGTCACCGGTCCCGTTGTGGGACTGTGCAGAGCCCTGTGTGCGGCAGGGACCTGTCTGCAGCAGGGTGGCAGGAGAGGGCTCTGCTGGCCCTGCAATAGCAGGTCATAGGGCCCTCACCACCCAGAGCACCATAGGAAGCTGGGGCCGTGGCGCGGGATGCAAGCTCACCTGCTCCGGGGAGCACGCCGCCCGGGAACGCTCCGGGAATCCCAGCACCTGCCGAGCAAGAGCAAAAGAGCGGTGAGCCCCCGGCCAGAGCCCTTCCCAGAGCTTGGCCCACTCCTGGCCACGACCTACCTGGTACCTTGGGGGGCTTCCCTGCTGCGCCAGCCCCAGGCTGCACCCCACCCGGGGGCACCACTGCACCTGCAGGGTGGCAGAGAGCCCATGAGTGCCGACCCACAGCAGACGCACACACTCCTATTCCTCTGCCCTAGGTAGGGCTATGCCCAGGGACCCAAGCAAGCTTGGGTTTGGGGTATACTCTACCTGTGGAGACCCCGAGGCCACCAGGACCACCGACTCCACCCAAGCCACCAATGCCACCGACACCACCAAGTCCAGCACCTGAGGCATTGGGAAGAGGAGACTGCAGAGTCAGATGCCCACCCTTGGGCTATGGGTGGCCACATGTGTTGAAGGAAACAAGGATTTCATTGTCAGTGCTCTGGGGTGAAGGGGACATCCCAAGCCAGCAGCGAGGAAAGGTCTCCCCCTCGGGCAAAGCCTGGGCATGGCAGCCTGCTTCCCAGGGCAGGGTGCTGAACCATGCTTTTTCTTGCCTCATGGTTCAGCCTTGGTCAATGCTCTTTTTTGGCATGGTTTCCACAAGAAAATTTGCCATGGTTCCTCTGCCTCTCTTCTGCCACATCCCTGGCAGGGATGTCACAGAGCACAACACCCACATCTGCTCTCCCTGTGGCCTCCAGAGGAAAGAGCGGCTCATCCTGAGAAGCCAAGGCTCAGACAAGCTACCTGCAGCRTGTCAGAACATGCTATTGCCTTGCCCAGGCCCTACAGCTTAACTAGGTAGTACAAGCGGTGTGTGGTGCTGGTACTACCCCCAACCCAACCACCTGGCCCTTGTAGCATCTCCAAGGGTGCCATGTGCACTCACCAGCTTTTGCAGCAGCTTTAAGGGCAGCTGCAGATGCAGCACCAGGGAAGGCACCACCAGGGAAGACGCCTCCCGGGAAGAGGCCTGCAGCACCTGCAGTGGAGAAGGAGAACCAGCATCAAACCCCTGAAGGCCAAGAGCGGCTGGAGGCCGGGGCCGGAGCCTCCCAGGGGCAGGTCTCCCAGCATGGCATAACCTCTGGGCTGTTCTGGTCACTTCAAAGAGGGGAAAGTGCTTGGGAAGGGCAGTATGCCATTGTCCGTACAGGAGGATGATGAGGCAGGGGTGCCGTGGCGGGCCTGGGAGCAGTGGGAACGCCAGGGCTGAGATTAGTCTGTGCAAGGCTGTGGTTAGGAGGGGCCTGCAGCAGGCCATGAGCTGGGGCCCTGGCTTTGCAGGTGCTGGCTGGGCTGGTGCAGGTGACTTCTCTCCCTGCTGATGTGGGCCATGCTGGGCCCACCTGCCCTGCAGGTGCCTGTCCTGACCTGTCCTTGCGCCTTGGCTGCCTACGCTGCCGCGCTCGCCAGGCTCCCTGCAGCTCTGGGAACACCGGCCGGGCCGCCTGCRGGCATCGTCCCTCTGCCAGAGACCCCACAGGGACCGCGGGTGCTGCCACCTCCTCTCCTAGGCTGCTTGGGACAGCAGGCCCAGCCTCCCTGTGGGATGCRCAGGGTCAGAGGTGCTGGAGTGGCGATGTTGGGGACCATGGGTGGTCACCCATCCCTTGGGGTGGGAACGTGCTCAGTACAGGCACCTGGTGAGCACCGGAAGGGACACATGCTGTCCCCAGGAGGTCTCTGGGGACAGGACGTTGCACCTGCGGCGCGGGGGACGGTGCCCAGCGCGCTGCGCTCACCTGGCTGCAGGCCAAGCCCGCCGACTCCCCCGAGGCCTCCGACCCCTGGAAAGAGAAGGGGGTGAAAGGGGAGGGCACTGGGGCTGAGCCCAGGTGTGGGGAGCCCCAGGACAGGCCCAGGGGAGACCCGGGGCCCCGCTCTGCTCGCCYGGGCCGGTCCCGTGCAATCAGGGCCGCGGTCTCCAGCTGGCGTGGTGGCCTGCGGGCTTCCCCTGGAAGCCACTCGGGAAGGCTGCTGGCCTCCTCTTGCTCCGTGCACAGGGCAGGGCCGGCTCGCAGGGCTTCCAGGAGCCCCTGCCAGGCACTGGGATGCACGCGGAGAAGCCAACGAAGGGCTGTCCCACCAGGCTTGGTGGAGCAGAACYGCCCGGCACTGTGGCCGCCACCATGTCCCGGATGGTGGCACTGCCGGAGGATGTCCGGGGACACACAGAGCAACCAGAGGCAAAACCTGCCGGTCCCACGGCCAGGCGACAGGCACGGGGGACACAAAGGGGACTGGGGACGYGCACAGGTCCCTGCGTGGCAGTGCCCTGCGCCCCAGCCCCGCTCCCGCTGCCGTCCCGCTCCGCTCTCCCTCGCCCGCCCCCCACCCTGCAGGGCCAGGAGGGGATGGAGCCGAAATGTTTATGGCTGAGGAATGAGTCCCTGCGGCTCCGGCCAACGCCGCTTTCCAACATCTGGGCCTAATCACCACTCGCTCCCTCCAGGCGCAAATTCCACTGCCTTTGGCTCATGGCGCGGACACCGCTCCGGCTGGGGCTTCGCGGCWGCACAGCGTTTGGTTTTAATTACGCAGAAATAAAGGGCCTTGTTTTTCTTTCCACACACTGAAATCTGAGCAAACGGAGGCTCAGGCCCCCGCCTGGGGCTGGCCCTGCSGCGCAGACGGGCCGGCCACGGCCGAGTGAGCCTCGCTGCGAGCRCCCGGCACCTGGCACGGCGCAGAGCCCCCGGCCTCTGCCGGGAGCAACGTCTCCACCTGGGCCTCCCTGCACATGGGGCTGCGGCTCCTGCATCCGCACCCGAGCTGCAGGGAACCTTGCAGAAGGTGCCTATCCGCGAATCCAGCCCAGCAGAGGGGATGCCAGCATCCCATGGGCACTGGCTCCGGCCAGGGCCGGGCTGAGCGCAGGGCTCATGTTCCGGGGCTTAATGTCTTTGCTGAGCGGAGGAGCCTTGGGGCAGGGCTGCAGGTTGCAAGGACCCGCAAGTGGCTCCGTGATGTCCCACAGCCCCGGGGAACACGCGAGGCTGGGGGTCTGGATGGCCTGGAAGGAGGCATCGTCCCGCCCAAGCAGCGGGTGATGGAAGCAGGTCCCTCAGCGCTCGCAGGAGCTTTGCGCGGGTTAGTGTGTGGGGCAGGGGTGGAAAGCAGCAGGCTGGCGACTGTCCTAGCCAGGAGCGTGGCATGGGAAGGGAAGCCCTCAGCCTTGGCCACGCAGGAGAAAGGAAGGAGAGCAGGTGCTGGGAGACAATCCGTCCCCTGCCGCTTGCCCTGGGCGCTGGCCCCCGTCGCAGCTGGCTGGGGCCAGCACGAGAAACAAGGCGGCCCTCCTTACCTGCTTTGAGAGGCTTCCCCGCAGCCCCGAGCCCTGCGGGAGAGCAGGAGAGAGCAGTCAGCGCCGTCCCTGCCCGCCGCGCGGCTCCTTCCCCTGGGACCCCTTGCCTGGCCCCCGTGCAGGAGCAGCGGTTCCTCCCAGCGGAGGGTCAGCCCCCCACCCTGGAGCCCCCCACGGYGCAGCCCATGCAGAGGGCGCCTCTCCATCCCTCCTGCAGCAGCGCGAGCGAAGGGACCCGGTACTCACCTGCTCCCAAGCCTCCAACCCCAGCACCTGCAAACAAGGGCACAGCTTTAGCTCGGGCTCCTGCAAGCTGCCTCTGGCCCCCCTGCCCTGCCAGGCTCCCAGGGGTTGATCAGAGATGGATCAGTGGGGTACAAGGGGCACATAGGCATAGGGTGTCCCCTGAGGTGTCCCCAAGCAGCTGGCTGGAGCATTCAGGCGAGACTGTGACCTCCAAGCACAAGCCCCAAGTCTTAGCCCCCCATGGCAGGTCCTAGCAGTGGGTAGGTGACAGCCCAGGGCTGGTGGCTCCCAGCACACGCCTGGCACAGCCGCACAGTGCCTTGTGCCATGGGACTGGGGCCAAGCTGCTTGACCAGGCACCCTCAGCTACTCCCAACACCATTAACAGGCCCCCTGAGGCTGCCCTTCCATCATGCTCAGACATGCCCTGGCTACTGTCCCCATAAGCATTTGCCCTGGAGATGCTGTCTCATCCTTACAAACAGGGAGATGCCTCCCCGCTGCATTGCCTGTTCCCTACCTTGYTGCCCCCTTACCTGGGAAAAAGCCTCCTCCTGGGACCCCTCCTCCAGGGATAGCACCAGGGACCCCTGCAAGAGAAGAATCAGTCACTGAAAGCCCCACAAGGACCCAGGCCTCTAGTAGGCCTAGGCTGGTGGTACTTCCCAGGGACCTGCTCTTTACAGAGGGCATGCAACACACAGCTCCAGGGTGAGGGATCAAGGGCTGCTCCCTGTCTTCCCTGGCACCTCAGCTTCCCTAGTGATCATGAGGAAAAGAGCTGCCCCAGCTGGGAGCCGGGGCAAAGAGCTTRGTGGAGGGGTCAGCAAGACACGGTCCCTAAGGGTGTGAGGGAGACTGGGCCTGGCACTGAGCACGTCTGGCTGGTATCCACCTCTGTGCCCATAGGCAGTCCCATATCACAAATAGAGCCATCATCCACCATCTTTTAGCTTCATATGGCTCTGGCGGGGATKGGTTGGCGTCCTACATTGCTCAAATACAGGGGTCATCTCAGTTAATCCCCACAGCCCATGTGGGTCCCACTCAAGCTTCAGGAGATGGCTCGGGGACCCAACAAACGCATTTCCTGCTGGGCCTGCCTCCTTCTAGCCATCCATGCAATGCCAAGACAGTGCCAAGTTGCTCGTGCTCAGAGCTCCTGCTCAGACACCATGGGGATGCTTTGGGAGCAGTGGCCTTGATCCTGCCTGTCTGCTGCAGGCAGTGACCTGGATGGTCCAGCCTGTGCCAACAGTGAGGCTGGCGGAGAGGTACYGTGGAATGGGGGCACTCTCAGGTCCTCGGTGGGTTGGGAGTGCTGTGGGGCAGCGGGGCTTGGGCACTGTGGATCTCGCGGTGGAGGCTGCAGTGCGGTGGGGTTTTCATGGAGTCTGCTGCACTGCAAGGTTATCAGTGGGGCTGGCAGCAGTGTTAGAGGCGCTGCAAGGTGTGTGCTTAGGTTTGCAGGGTGGTGGGGCTGAGGGCCCACCTAGGTGAGCAGGCAGGTGCCAAGCGGGCACCTGGGTGGCAGAGCCAGCTTGGCAGGATTTGATGGCTCCCAATTTGATGCTTCTCCTTCTAGCACCCACCAGATGTGGTGCGAATGCCAGGCACAGCCCTGTGCCCACCCCTGGCACCCCCTGGCAGCTCAGCACTCCCCTTGCCTCCACTCACGTGTGTCCCTGCCCCACGTGGTACCTGTGACGGCCTTCGGCTGGACTCACGACTCAGCCACACAGGGTGGGTGTCAGGAGCCRCAAAAACACACGCACACAGAGGACACGTGTCAGCACACACGCACATCACTGGACGTGCATGGACAYGCATCAGTTAAGCACACATGCATGGACACTTGTGAGGACATGCACACACAGGACACCTGTGTCACATGCAGGTGTCAGGGTGCACACACCTGCACAGCACAGGCTCCAGGACCGGCGCACACAGGACGTGTGTGTCAGGATACAGGTGGATACACAGAGCACATGTCAGGATACACACGGAGGACACGTGAGGACACACGTGGGACACACCAGGATTTCCRTGTGCAGGCATCAGACACTCACATGAGCGTGCACAGTGCTGTGCTGCAGCACGGCTCCCAGGACTGTCCTCTCCAACCTGTCACTGTCCCCATGACACCCACACCTACCGCAAGGATGCCAAAGAGCGGCACGTGGCTCTGCGGCACCAGAGCTGCCTCCTTCTGGGAGGCCAGGGCTTCTGGCTGCCTATGCAGGAGCTGAGGACCACCCCAGCGGGCCAGGGACCGCAGCAGCAACAAGCCCAGCGAGTCCATACCCCTTGGGTGTGGGCTGCCCAGCGTGGGGCTGAGCCTGACAGGGATCAGGTCCAGCCTTCAAACAGCTGATCTCACTTGGAGCGGGATGCAGGGCTGATGAGAGGCTGCGGCGAGCCAGAGGCAGCACTCGCTGCCCTGCCCCGCCGTCTGCACGGCCGTCTCGCCCCTGCGGCACGGCACGGCACGGCACGGCACGGCCCTGCCCAGGGAGGCAGCCGGCCAGCATTTAAGAAACCCGCTCCTTATCCCAGAATGTCCCCACCCCCTTAGCCCTCCGAGCTAGGAAAAAAACAAATGCCAGGTTTTTGCTTGTTTCCAAACAAACTGGGGGCGCCTGCGCATCGGCATCCTCCCCTGCGCGGCGGGCTGGGAAGGGGCAGGAAGGGAAGGCTGCGCCGGGCTGCGGGGGACGCTCCGCCGCCGGAGCCARAGCCGAGCGCGCCGCCGGGAGCTGCACACACGCCCGGGCAGCGGGATGCCCACGGCCACCGGCCACCAGCGAAGCAGAATGGCCCCTGCCAGCGGGGAGCCTCCAGCGGCGCTCGGACCCCTGCAGTGCCCCCAAGCCTCCCGGCCTCCTTCGCCACCAGGCCGGTGCTGGGACGCTGCTGGGAATGCAGAGCGGGGCACGCTGAGGACCCAGGCGCCAAGCTGAGCTCAGAGACCTCATCTCTGGATGGTCAGAGACCTCGAGGGGAAGCCAGGATGAAGCTGGAGGCCCAAATAGCCCATGGCCTCCCTAGGGACAGGATAGCAGTCCAGGTGAGGCCACCCTGGGGCTGCAGCTCTCCTTACCTGATACCTGCCCGGGGTGACAGCCCCTGCCTGCCTGGGCACTTGTGGCCCCTACCAGGCAGGTTCCCCAGCTGCTGCTGCAGCTGTGGTCCCACCACCCCTGCCTCCAATGCCTGGGGAGCACAGTGGTGGCCTCCGGCAACACGACTCTTGCACAAAGCATCTCCCAGGTACTGTTCTGACTCTTGCCTAGACTGGCTCTGTGCTCATCCCAGCCCCTTGATTTGAGGAAGGTGTGTGTGTTTGGGAGGGTTAAAGAGGGCATGTCCGCCTCATAACACCAGGAGCTAGGTGCTCATTAGCCTCTGCCTCATTAGCCTCCTCCACGCCCAGGCAAGGAGGCTGAGAGGGACAGCAGGTCTTGGCACAAGCCCGGGTTTCCATGACTTTTGCACAGTCAGAGACTTTTGCAGCAGTGTGTCAGAGAGGCTCTTCCAGGTTTAAGGACACGACGGGTTTGCTCAGAAGTGCAGCAGAAGGCTGATCTGCCCTGGCTGCTTCTCCCTGGCTTGACAAGAGCAGCTCTGCTGACATATGCGGTCAGCAGCAACACCTGGTGTTGTAAAGACTCTTGGACAAGCCTCCGTGGGCCCTCTTTGCTGGCATTGAAAGCTGGTGCTGGAGCCCCACAGAGCTGGGTGCCCTTCCCAATGGGGAGGCAGGGCTCTGGCTGCCAGGTTCACAGGGTTCTCCTGCCCTCTCAGGACTCAGGCCATGGACCAGACTTACTAGGCAAATTCAGTCCCAGTGATGGTTCAAGGCAGCCCTTGCCTTGTCTCTAGCTGCATCACGGGGCTCTCTGAGGGCTCACCGAGCTATAGCAATCATTATTCTTCCACTGATGTCCGGGTTGTGTTCACCTGGCCATGCTTAGCATGGTCTAAGCCTGGCCTTTCATCGGAGCCTTGGACCTGCTTCCTGGCTGCAGGCAGGAGTTGGTCTCTCTAGCACAGCTCAGAGGTCTCATCTCTGGCTTTGGGTACTCTCCCTGAGCATTATATATGCTCAGCCCCATATCACGTATTATTATATATATATTATACCTCTCAGCTTGGGGAAAGCCAGGTGCCTCTGGGGCTGGGGTTAAGGACTCAGGCTCAAGTCTTCCTGTGTTCTCCACAGTGATGTCCAGGGCTGTGCTCATGTCTTTGCTCTGTGGCTGGGGAGCAAGTCCACAGGCCTGACAAGCACTGGGGCAGTCAGCAGCACCAGGAGGAACTTCACCGTCTGTTCAGAGGAGAATTTGCATCCGAGCGTGCTGTGCTAGCTGCATTACGGTTTATTTCAGGATCTGGCATGCAGACTTCTTCTCTAAAACCTGGACTTCTTCCTCCATAGCGCTCTCTATCATTTGATCGCTATTTCTATCATCTGTGCAATGCTATTATCTACACTATTTTTACTAACTGCGTTATGACTTGCAGATTTCTTTACGAGTAAGAAATACAGATGTTTTCTGGGGTCAACATCTTATTTTCCTCTCTGTAGAGACAGGAACAGGCTGGAACGTGCACGGTAGGCCACGAGCGCACCGCCTCGCTCCTGCCGCTGCCTGGAGCCCTCCTCGCCCCCAGCCAGGCCGCCAAACATCCGATTCGTCAGCAGACCTCACTGTCCTCCCCGCGCGTGCGGGAAATCGTTCCTGAAGGAGGCTCAGCAAGGAGCCGCTGGAGATATTTCCCTCTTTCCTCACATTTCTGTTTTCTTTTCGGGGAGAAGCAGTTTTGGAAACACGCGATCTCCAGGCAACTGCCTGGCACGCGCTGAACCCGAGCTGCGTCCTGACCCGAGCCCGGGTAGCAGCTCGAGACGCGGGCCGGGGGGAGGCCGGGCCTCGCGGGGGGAGCCGCGCGGCAGAGCCTGGCTCCGGCCCAGTCCCTGGGCTGCCGCCTCCGTTCCTGAGCGCGGAAAGCCCCTTGTGAACGAGCCGCATCCCGCAAGGCATTTGCCGAGGGAGCGGCCCCCCGGGCCAGGGTCTCCAGGAGGTTTAGTGCAGGGGAGGGGAGATGCCGTCCCCCGCTGGTCAGCAAGAGCTGGAGAGGACCTTGCTCAGGGTGCCCGTGGGTAAGGAAGGCTGGAGATGGCAGAGCAACTCTCCTTGAGAACCCACGCTGACCACCTAACGGAGAGCCAAGGCTGGAGGACATCAAAGCACCAGCTCCTCAGCAGCTCTTGGCTCTTGGCTGACTTTGCTATCCTCACAAGCTCTTCTGGAGGGTCACAATGTCCCCTTGGAGGGCCACAATGTTCCCCTGAGACCACTCAACCCACATGTGCATCGCCAGTCTGTTTGCACCCACCTCAGTGTCTCCCTGTGGCCTCCAAGTCCACCTAGGCTGGGACAGCCCATGTTGTCTCTGTCCTCTCTGAGGACGCTCAGTGTCCCTGGCTGGGGGCATCCCTGTGCCTCTGGCATGGAAAGTCTTTAAGGAGAGACAGCTCTCTCCAAATGCTGGGAGTGCTGGATTTGGCACTTCTCAGAGGAGAAGGTGTCCATATGGGGGCCCATCTCCAGTCCATGAAGCTCTTCCCCAGCATGCTGCCCGTACGGGCACCCCAGGCAGTCAGCAGAGCGGGCAAGGCCTGAGCCCAGCACCCTGCTTGGACATCCCAGCCAGGGAGCTCCCACCTGCAGCCAGCGCAAGCCCAAGCAAGGGCAGGAGCCCTGTGGGACATGAGAAATGGTCTGCTCGGGTGCAGTGGGGCTGCCCCTTTCCCCGCCTCCTAAACCTGTCATGTCTCAAGGGTCTGGTTTTCCTGTCTGTCTCACAGCTAGGCTCCTTTGGAGGCCCTGCAAGGGACACTTCACTGTCACCGCTTGCAGGTGCTGCCCTGAGCCTGTGTGCAGCCTCGCAGGCACAGCGTCTGTGCCCCATGCCCCCCGGCATTGCCCTGCCCCGGCCCCGGGGAGAGCAGCAGGGCAGGCAGCACGACGGGCACCTGCTTGCAGCACACCAGCCTGCAGAGACACCGGTCACTCCTCCATGGGAGAGTGTCCCCTTATGTCCCCATCAGCACGAGGACTGTGTGAGGCCCAGGGCTGGCTCTTCTGTGCGCTGCCTGCCCAGACCAGCCAATACCCCGAGAACAAGCCAGGAACTGGAGCAGGGCCAAAAACACTAAACAGTCAAAAAGTCCTGCAGGATCTTGCCAAAGAGCCAAAATCTTCCTGGGATTGTCCCAGCTAGCAAATGCTTGCAAGCTGGTGAGCAAAGCCACCGCGGTGAAACAAGCCAGCACCAAGGACCACTCCGAGCGGTAGCAAGTGCCCAGGAGCGATGGGCATCCCATTGAGGATGGCACTCGGACCCCGGCCACCAGCCCCCGAACTGCAGCTCTCCAGGACCAGGCTCAGACGGCAGCCTGGCTGGACAGGGAGCGCCTGTCTTGGCACTGCTCCGGCCCGGGCCGCCTGCTCAGCCAGAGGCAAAGCAGGCRGCAGTCGGGGTCCTGGGAAACGGCAGCGCTGGGTCAGAGCAGGGCGCGCCGGGACCTGGCGTGGAATCACTGCTGGGCTCTGCAGGACACTGCCCTGGCCAAGGGGGTGCCCACGGACCTCTCTGCCCCTTCTCCCTGGAAGCCAATTCCGCGCAGCACGGGCTTTGGCGCGTGGTGTCGCTCCCTTTGGCCRTGCGCTCCCTGGCACGGCACTGGCCGTGTCCCCTGCCTGGCCAGCTTGCCGCCTGCCTCCTGCCTGGCCGCCCGGCCCTCGTCCTGCTCTGTCCCCGCTGCACGGCGCCTTGCCCGCTTCGGCCAGGGCAGCAGCCCGTAAATCTGCGTTGCGAGCAGTGCTCTGCATTCTTCGCAGAGCTTCATTGACTGCTCCAGGACGGAGCAACAAGTGGCTCTCGCCCTGAAGCACCGCTGCTCCCTGYGTGCTTTGCACGCTAATCACTATGGACTAGGAAGCTCCCACGCAGTGTGACGGGTGCAGGGCGAGCACCCGCTGTGATGACACACAGGCTGGTCCCCGCCGCGCCTGCGCATGGCCCGGCCATGGATCGCAAGCCAGGCTGCAGGCTGCGACCTTCACCAACACGTCCCAGTGCGCTCCAGGGGTGCCCGCCTCATGCAGTGCCCACCTCCCYGCTGCAGCAGCAGGAGCAGCCTCAYGTGCATTGGCATGCACCCTTGGAGGTGTCCCCCGGTCCCCATGGCAGTGCTGCTGTGCCAGGGGCCAGCCRGCACTCTCACAGGCTGAG